CAGCTCACTTCTCACTGAGGTGCGTACCCAAAAGAACAGTGAAAGCTCCACAACTGAACCACCCAACTCAGAAAACACAATATCAACACAACCAGTTTCTCGTTTATACCCTTTTGAGTCTTCTTAATATAAACACATGTTCTGGCATTGAAAACTTATAAACGTGAACTGTACCAGTCAACAATGGTCGACTTCAAGTAAAATTTTCATACGCATCACTGCACTAGATAAAGACAATGTGACCGGAAATTTTTTTCGAGTGAGTAAACAAAATGATTGGCTGTAAGGGAAACCAAGGAAACAGTGTTGTAACTTCATCTGTAAAAAATGTAAATCAAAGTCATACTACATATTTCATAAACAGTAAAAATATCACGCTATATGACTAATGTTATTTTATTTAGGGAAAAAGACCTAATACAAGAGACTAATACATTGCGTTTCCATATAACATTAACTAATGAGATGAGGAATTCTCCAAAAACGATGGATATTATCAGAATTCAAAAGTAATATACAACTAATGAGAAACACTAAAACTGACTTATTGACAAAGTATTCACTACTGGTATCAAAAAAGTCATCGTGAAAATCAATAAAACATGTCAAGCATGAAATACAAACAATGGAAAATTAAACTTCTTAATTTATTTCGATTTTCATTTCTTTTCTTATCCAAAGTTTTAACTAAGCCCACTAACTTAGCAATACTTCAGAAAATTTGGTGTTTAGCACCAAGTTCCAAAATCCAGTCTCTTAATCACTATGAAGATGGAAGACAATGAGTAGATTCCAGATATTTAAATTTAGTTACCTTAAAACTACTGACTGCTTTATTTATTTATTTATTTGAACACTTAAATATTGGCACAAGGGGGCACCAAATATACATGTGCCAAACAAAACAATGATAATGGGAAGAGAAAAAAGAAGGCAAGGTGCGCAAAAGAAAAAAAGGACAATAACGACCACAGATTAGTGTAAGGTATTTATTTATTTATTTTAACACAAAGATATTGGTACAAGGAGGCACCAAATACATATGCGCCACACAAATCTCATTCGATATGTGTGAGGGCTGTGATACTGCCCGGGTGCCCAAACCGAAGCAATAATAATAATAATAATAATAATAATAATAATAATGAGGGAAACGGAAAAGTACAACCACAAGAAGTCTTTCAGTTAAGGAAGATACAACCACTGTTTAGGAAGAAAGTAAAAGAAGGTTACAGCAGGATCGCTACTGGCTTCTATTCCGAGCCATATCTGATGTCTCTAGCCATTGTGTTATATTATCTCTCGGGCCTCAGCCAAGGAGTCGTGAACGATCAACAAAAGCAAGCCCTTTGCAGCTTTCTTTCATACCACGACACCATGTCATGCACTGACCACCTCTCCGCTTCTTCCAACCAGTCTCAGCGTCGGCAAATAATGCAAGATGTGGAATTCTCTGAGACGACATTCGTAGAACATGTCCAGGCCACCGAAGTCGGTGTTTCAAGATGGTGACACCAATTGAATTATCATCTCTGTGCCCGAACACACGATGCCGAACCTCTGCATTACTGACATGGTGTTACCATTGGATGTCAGCAATCCTTCAGAGACACCGATGATCGAACACAGAGAGTCATCTAACATCCTCAACTCGGAGAAGCCAGGTTTCACAAAACTGCTCTCACCGACGCGTTGTAGATCCGACCTTTTACAGCCAGACTGACATCACGAAGGCGCCAAAGATGGTCCAGATTGGCATAAGCCGCTCTGGATTCCATTATACGTGCATTAATCTCACCAATCACGCCACCACCAGCACTTATGCAGCTACCTAGATACACGAAATTCTCGACTTCTTCTATCTGCTCACCAACCAGGGTGAGTATAGGATTAGAATCCTGCCAATCTTGTAGAAGTACTTTGCACTTTGAAGGTGCGAAGCATATACCGTACCTACGGACACTAATTCAACTCTGCCTGTAGCTCTTCTAGAGTTACTGCCGGTCCCAAGCCCGGGTAAAGGAGGAGGGCTGAGCATGAGGTTAGTGTCCCCATCCCGAAGAAAACTAACTCGCTAAAAAACGCTTACCAGAAAAAATTATTCAAACCATTTAAACTCTGCCCTGAAAGTTAGGTCTTCATTCAGAAGAATTATGACGCTTCATGGTGAAAGCCGAGTTCCTTCGGAAGCCACGAGGCCGATGCACCTTCTAACAACCAGGGCAAAATTTTGTATAGGTACATGGAACGTCCGAAATATGTGGGAGACCGGGAAGACCAGTCAAATAGCAACGGAAATGAGGAGATACAACTTAGCAGTACTGGGAATCAGCGAAACCCATTGGAGTCAAGCTGGACAACAAAGGCTAAATACGGGAGAGATGCTACTATACTCCAGTCACGAAGAGGAAAATGCTCCGCACACTCAAGGAGTTGCTCTAATGCTCCCACTCACCAATGATAGCAACGACGACATTAAAGATCAATTCTACGAGCGGCTGCAGTCAATCATAGAGAAGTGCCCAAGAAAGGACCTCACCATTCTGATGAGAGATCTAAATGCCAAAGTCGGAACGGACAACACCGGATATTAAGATATTATGGGACGACATGGACTGGGAGAAACGAAAATGGAGAAAGGTTTGCAAATCTGTGTGCATTCAACAAATTGGTCATAGGAGGCACAATATTTCCACACAAGCGTATACACAAAGCCACATGGATCTCACCGAATCACACTACAGAGAACCAAATAGATCATATTTGCATCAATAAAAAATTCCGAAGGACAATGGAAGATGTGAGAACCAGGAGAGGAGCTGATATAGCTTCAGGGGAAAACCAAGGTCCTCAAATACAACACGGAAAACAGCAATCCAATCACTCTTGATGGCGAAACTCTGGAAGATGCGGAATCCCTCACACACCTAGGAAGCATAATCGATGAACAAGGAGGTTCAGATGCAGACGTAAAGGCGAGGATTGGCAAAGCAAGGACAGCATTCCTACAGTTGAAGAACATATGGAACTCAAAAAAATTTTCAACCAATATCAAAGTGAGAATCTTCAATACGAACGTCAAGGCGGTTCTACTGTATGGAGATGAAACTTGGAGAACTACTACAACCATCATCAAGAAAGTGCTGTCTACGCAAGATACTCAACATCCATTGGCCGGATACCATCAGCAACAGCCTTCTCTGGGAGAGAACAAACCAGTATCCAGCTGAAGAGGAAATTAGGAAAAGACGATGGAAATGGATAGGACATACACTACGCAAATCGTCAAACTGCATCACGAGACAAAACCTAACTTTGAATCCTGAAGGAAGGCGGAGAAGAAGAAGGCTAAAGAACACATTACGTCTGGAAATAAAGGCAGATATGGAAAGGATGAATAACAAGTGGAAGGAGTGGGAAAGGATTGCCCAGGACAGCGTTGAATGGCGAATGCTCGTGAGCGGCCTATGTTCCTTCACGGGGAGTAACAGGCGTAAGTAAGTACGGACACTAATTCGCCAACTGATTAAGTGCGGATTGCATGCCTTGGGCATTATCGCACAGTAAGACAATATCATCCGCATACTCAAGGTCGAGAAGTCTTTCTCCAGGCAACAGATCCACACCACCATTACTTACATTCATCAGAGCTGTTTCCAGAATGTCGTCGATAGCAAAGTTGAAGAGGAACGGTGAAATTGGGCAACCCTGCCTAACCCCACTGCTCGAATGGAACAATCGAGAAAGGTGGTTGTATGCCCTCACTCTGCCTGAGGTGTTTGTATATAGGGCCTTTAGGATGTTAATAAACTTCTCAGGCACACCCGTCTTCAATAGACAATCCCAGAGAACAGTCCTGTCCAACGAAACGAAGGCAGCCCTGATGTCAAGAAACACTACGATTGTTGGCCTTTGATAAGTATGACGGTGTTCTAGCATTTGGCGGAGGGTGAAGATATGATCAACATATCCTCGACCAGAACGAAACCCAGCCTGCTCCTCGCGAGTCGATCTTTCTCGGGTTTTGAACAACCTATGAAGTATGACGGAAGCCAATAGCTTGGACACAATCGGAAGTAAACTTATCCCCCGATAGTTGTTACAAGAACGACGTGAACCCTTTTTGAAGATAGGGACAACTATCGACTCATTCCATGACGTTGGTACACTCTCTAGTTCCCAAACCTTTGTAAACAACGTCGTCAATTCCTTAGTCAAAAAGTCACCACCATCTTTAAAAAGAGCCGGAGGTAAGTCATCTGGGTCAGGTGATTTGTAACGCTTCAAGAGTTGGAGTTCCTTTCGGACTTTCTCCTCGTTTGGTGGATCAGTCGTCACCGGCCATGGAGGGAAGGACAGTCTGACTGATGTTGCCGGAGCAGCAGGCCAGTTGAACTGCCCTTCGAAAAATTCTGCCCATCGTCCAAGACGTCGATGGATGTTAATGATTAGCATTCCGTCATCCTCGCAGATTGTTTCGCTCACACCAGACTCCTTGCTGCCAGTGGCTCGGATGAGTTGGAAGAGCTTCCGGTAATTACCAGATGCAGCTGCTGCTTCCAGCTCATTACCACGCTCTGACCACCAGGTCTCTCGATCTTTACGTAAGCTTTGACCAATTTCCTTTTGTAACATCCTTCGTTTATGGTCAAACTCACGGTCACCCGGAGTAGACCGACGGGCTTCAATGAGTTGTAAAGAGCCTGAAAAAACCCAGTGCTTATAGGTGGGACGTTTAGCGAAGCACTGATCGCTTATGATGAAACGACAAAGTATCCAATATTGAAGCTATGTATGTGTTTTTAGGTATAAATTATGATTGATGAGGCTATGAATCCTCATAAACATTGCTAGTCAGGATGTATTGTGCATACTTTTGTGAAGTGTGACAAATTGCATCAATAGACATCCTTGTTGGAAATTAAACAGTTTGTGAATGATTGAGGCACCGAATACATATGCGTCACACTTCATCATTCCATTTATGTTAGGGCTTGAATACTGGCCGGGTGCCCAGATCGAAGCAGGTAGTTTCTTTAGGAAACCACTCCCTGAGCCTTTGACCTAAAGGTCTGATCCACAAGGCAGTGGAGCAACGTCAGAAGATGCAGTCCCATTGTAGCCGGTGACCAACAACAGATTCATATGCCATTTGTTCACTCAGGATCCTAGAGCCCATCTGAACCATTGGTTTGGAATCAGGGATTCCCAATTCACCTTGGTGGATACGCCGTGCCCATTAACCCGGTTAAAGCGCCAGACGTTCGCTTTTCGTCCCCTCAGTTTCGTAAACAACAGCCCCGACTCAAGAAGGTTGTGAATAGGACTTCCTTGATGGCGGTTGTATGCACATGGGGGAGGGAGAGAGAAGGAGAGCTTCTCTCTTCACTCTCAACCGTACCAGGGTATTATTACGAAATAAGTATTTAAAATATAGTTTCCAAAATGTGCACAGAACCTCACCCCCTTAACTATTGAGCTCGAAACAAAGCTACATACGCACAAAAAGTGTAAGCCAGCAGTTTATGATATTCTGGTACAAAACTAAATGTAAGCTGATAAGATTCTCAAAATCCGGATTAAACCGAGCCAGTTCAAGACGGTTTATCAACCGACTTTACGAACAAACTGATTTCTTTTTCTCGAAAAGCAAGATATTGTAATGATAATTTTGATATATCGTTTGCTTTGACAACAAATGATGTATAATAAACTACTTAGATATTGATACTACTCGTGTTTTAGTCATCATTTAAGGAATACAAAAAATAAACTTCACGTTCAATACATGACTTAATGTCTGTATGAATTAGTATTGAACAGTGTAAAACTTAACAAAAAGGACTCAATTAACAAGAAATTTAATTGAGAAGCAAATCACAGAGAGAAAAACTGTACTCATTTACTGTACAAAATAGTATAGGTCTGAGTATAGTAATGGAGGCATATCTACATGAAATTTTCCTGATTTGATAAATACAAAGAATCACAAATTTTGACATTTTAAATTCAGTAAGTTATCTGTAATTGATGAAGAAGATTCCGGTTTATCAACCTGGATATCACCACGTTCTAGAGGAATTTTCTTATGAGTAGTGTTCGGTTTCACCGATTCGCAATTAGGAGTTGAACGTGCTGAATTTGGACGTCTAACAACACCCAAATCAGATGGAACACGCCGAGGAGTATTGACTTTGGGAAGAGGAGAACATGTCTGCCCACCAATACGAGCAGTGCCAGTTGAAGGTCGGCTGTTTGGTTCGTTATTTATAATCGATGAGCTAGAAGCGAGTAAACGAAGAGCAGCAGGAGAGAGTAGCGACCGTGATGGACTACAAAATAAATGAAATTTGAAATCATTTAAAAAGTCTGAATATTAGAATTTTGAAACTAATGTAAAACACTCAACATCCCAAGAAAATTAGAAACAGTATTTCAATGAATACAATGTTATTCAATCAACTGATACGGGTTTCTGACCGAGGGAAGTTTTCATCAACATTGATTTAATCTGACTAACCAAGTCTGGCATATCAATGATTTCCTAATATCAAAAAATTTAAGTAGACTGCAATTGGACAATAATACATTAAACTGATAAATATAAATAAGGTTACACTGATTTAGCCATAATACAAATAAAGATTTATGAATTGCTGATGTGTTTAGATGAGAAAATAGAGCAAAACTAAAATTCGTACATCGAATGCAAAAAACAAATTCAATGAATGTGTTGAAATACTCCAACTACGTGGGGTGACACATGATAGTAGCACAAATGGTTTGTTTGAAAATCGTTACCACGACTGCATGACTGCATCTCAGTCTAGATTTATTTATTTAAACATATAAACATTGGTACAAGAAGGAACCGAATACATATGCGTCACACTTCATCATTCCATTTATGTTAGGGCTTGAATACTGGCCGGGTGCCCAGATCGAAGCAGGTAGTTTCTTTAGGAAACCACTCCCTGAGCCTTTGACCTAAAGGTCTGATCCACAAGGCAGTGGAGCAACGTCAGAAGATGCAGTCCCATTGTAGCCGGTGACCAACAACAGATTCATATGCCATTTGTTCACTCAGGATCCTAGAGCCCATCTGAACCATTGGTTTGGAATCAGGGATTCCCAATTCACCTTGGTGGATACGCCGTGCCCATTAACCCGGTTAAAGCGCCAGACGTTCGCTTTTCGTCCCCTCAGTTTCGTAAACAACAGCCCCGACTCAAGAAGGTTGTGAATAGGACTTCCTTGACGGCGGTTGTTTGCACGTGGCCCTGATTCCAAACCAATGGTGAACATGGGCTCCAGGATCCTGAGTGAACAAACGGCGTATAAATCTATTATTGGTCACCATCTACCATGGGACTGTATCTTTTGACGTTACTTCACTGCCCTCACATAAATTAAGTGACTTGTGTGAGACATATGTATTCGGTGCCTTCTTGTACCAATTTTTATATTTTTAGAAGAAATTTACAAACTTAAGTCTCTCAATCGAGATTGGACCTTACATTAACAACAAGTAATCAGCGGTTTCAGCAGACATAAATAATCCTTGGAAGAACTTACTACCAAATGACTGTTATCTACAACTCCCCTTTATAAATAATGGCCTTGACTTAATGATAAAGTAACACAAAGGGGACTTCTTCACAGTACATTTGTTGTTTGATAGGTAACGTCATATCGCATATTCATCCTACAACTAGCTTATGTTGCAGTAAAACTTAAAGGAGGAATAAGATAAATTGGGACCTGAAACGCGTCATAAAATCTACCAGAGACAACATTCTTTTAGGTACGTATTTTCGCCTTATGTACATATCTTATAGTATCAGTAATGCGTACATATACCAAGAATTAAAATCATGTTCACCTTTTCACATCTAATCTTCTTACTTGTATGTGTCTGAGTTAAATTTAATTGTGGGAGAACTTATTGCTAAAATGTACGGTAGTAAAACATTAGTAATTTTCAATTGTAAATACACTTACCTTGATGCTACTGACTGCATTCTTTTAACTGCTTCCAAACGATCACGCACACGTTGACGACTTGCTTTATCTGCTAATTGGTGGGCAAGCTGTTCACGTTGAGAAGGAGATGGGATACGAAAGGCTGGACCACCAGATACAACTGATGGTGTCGTTTCGCTGTCATCTAGTCGGAACGGTGTCGAATCCAATTCACCCCAAGTCATTAAAGGTGTGTGAGGAAACATTGTCATTGGTGAAGGGGAAGAATCAAGAAATTTATACCCAGAAGCCTGAGGAGTTCCGTATGGTGAATTCATTTCTAAACCATTAAGACCGACACGACCCTGTTTAAAATAAAACCAAATAAGTAAAAACTCCATGTGAATATTTCATATAACCAAACTAGATTCTGAATCAGAACTCAATAAACGGTTTATTCTTTTTCACATCAATAGAGACAAACGGTAATGTCCTTTCATTGATTAACTCTGAATTTGTTCTACAAAATACAAAAAACGATATTTTTGACCAGCATTTTCAAGTAAAATTATGTCAGTAAAGTTCAGATAGGATGTTAATCTTTAGACTAAAAATGCGAACTAAGTAAAATCTGCCTACTAATGCTCTCATCCAGATTGTAGCACGTTACGTGAAGACTGTGAAAATGTCCAGACTGTCAGTCAGTCAGCTACAACGTAGGACCAGACACATATGAGCATTGGTCCAAGTTGCCATACCTCATTAACACAACATAATGAACACCGGATTCATAGAAGGAGTGGTGATAATATATGAAAGAAAGATTGCGTAAAAGAACATAGTACATGAAGAATTATGTCGTAGAAAGAAAAATATGAAGCGATTTTAATCTCATAGTTAAAAGAAAGACAGTGAGTTTATACACCTACTCCATTGTGATCGATTCTGAGCCATGTCACCCACAGTCTCCAACCGTTGGTTACAATAGTCACGCGGACCCCAACCAAGTAGTCTGCATCTACCAACATGGCTCAGACCACAAGTTAATAACTTCAAGCACTGATGCAATGTTTTGGTTTGTCCACCCCCAGCTTTCTTCCAACCATCTCCAACACCGGTTAACATTGTGCGACGTGGTAATCGCTGTTCGGACATACGTAACACGTGGCCCAACCATCTCAGTCCATGAAGATTCACAACCTCATCAAGTGATTTTTCATCATTCCCTAATAACCTGCGTCTAACCTCACTATTACTTACCCGGTGATCCCAGCAGACCCCAGCAATATTTCTAAGACATCTGTGATCAAATACTAGTAGCTTACGAATATCCTCAACTCTTAATCACCACGTTTCGCGGCCGTAAAGTAGAACAGAGCGAACTGCCGTGCAGTACACTCGCCCTTTTATTGATAGACGGACATCTCGCCTTCGCCATAGGTGATGTAAGTTAGCAAAAGCTAAGCGAGCTTTTCGAATCCGTGCTGACACTTCGTCAGACACCAACACATTAGGGCTAATCAGACTTCTAAGGTAAGTGAAGTTGTCGACGTGTTTAACTACTTCACTCCCTATCATTAGTTCAGGTGTTGACGCAGACCAGTCCTGGAGCAACAACTTGCATTTCGAGAGGGATAAGCGCATTCCAAACAGCCTGACATTGTTGCTCAGTGCTACCAAAAGACTCTGGAATTTATCAGTCTTCACCAAACAAGACTATGTCATCTGCACATTCTAAGTCAAGAAGTGGACATCCAGGTAGATCAATTCCTGGAAATCCAGCCGACGAGAACGTTATTTCCACCAGCAAGTCTATGATGGAGTTAAACAAAAATGGAGAAAGTGGACCCAACCGAAGCTGCTACCTTGACGCGGTGGTTGGGCTTGCCTATCGTGATGACCCAACCGAGCTATATTGGCTGGAACATATGTTCCTGTAGGTTCTACCATGCCAGGCAGGCCGGTTGGAGAACGGTAAAACTAAAAGCAGCAACTCAAGGTCTGAGGGCGAAGTCGTACTGCTGACTGTAGATGGGTGTGACAGCAGTAATGTGTTTCCCTCAGACAACCAGCATCTGCAGCGATGCTGCCTTCTCACAAGGAGGGGTAGGGTTAGAAAAGGTCGACCCTAAAAATGTCACACCCCACCTTACCTCACGGATTTCCGTCTCCGGCGGTAAGGCCCTTTGAAGAACGGAGCTAACACATTAAAAACCTTCCACGAAAAGGCCGTGGGCGACCGACCTCAAGCAGTTGTCCCTTGGGCTCTGCGGTCACGCTCCCAGGTCTTTAAGACCAACACTAATCTAATTTCCATTTCAGGTTCCTCAAGAAATACCCTTCCGCTGTGTGGGTAGCCGGGAAGTGACACCAGTCCCCGTACACGTAACAGCACACGAGACCAAGTAGGTCACATTCAAATCCTTCCTACACCTCTTAATACCTCTCTTATCTCCATGACTAACCCTCCTCACGTCTCTTTATCATCTCGCACTGCTAGGGCAAACGATTCGAGTACGCGGAACGCTATTCCTGGTCTCCTGAAACCACGCTCTAAACTACACGTAGGAGCTTTTAACGTCCGAACACTGTGCCAAATAGGACAACCGGCTTCCTTAGCTAGGACTTTAGAATCCCGCGCCATCGATGTGTGCTGCGTCTCCGAAACGCGCATACAGGATCCAAGTAGCGTCATTCACTCGACCTCACTATACCAAAATAAAGAAACGACTCGATTCACACTTTGTGTATCTGGAATCCCTGATTCTGCTTCCGGTGGCCTCGCAGGCGTAGGTATAGCATTGAGTCCTAGGGCAGAACTAGCTCTCTTAGAGTGGATCCCAGTAGACAGTCGTTTGTGCGCTGTCCGACTGAATGGAACAGTAAGGATCCGAAAAGATAGGGACACTCGTCGTTGCCTCTTCGTCGTCTCTGCCTATTCTCCCACTGACTGCAGCGCAGATGATGTCAAAGATGTCATGTCGGTAGGTGTAGACTACCTGGTTGGGGACCGCGAGATGATAGCAACCGATGGTTAGAGACCCTGAATGACATGGCTCAAAATCGTTCGCAATGGCGCAGGTGCATACACTCTTTGTGTTCTCCTAAATTTTGATCTCCTGATTCCTCCTTGTCCCTTTTTTCTCTCTTCCCAAATTTATTTCACTGCATTATACTCTTTAAATAACATCGCTAAACACTAATTTTCCTGATTACTGCTTATACTCTTATTACCTCTACCACTACGGGATTTTAATCGACCACTGCATCTCTGTGCTAATGTGGTGTGGAAACTCGAACTGATGTACGTACGTACAAAGTTCTACGTTGTTACTGACTGACTGGAGAAAGTGGGCAGACTTGACGGATACCCCTTGACGTTGCAAAAGCAGATGACAGTTCGCCATAAGCTCTCACTCGACTTGTAGTGTTCGAGTAAAGAGCCTTCACAAGGTTTATGTACTTCTGAGGTATGCCTTCCAATGACACACTGCCACAGAACCTTTCAGTTTACAGAGTCAAATACTACTTTCAAGTCAAGAAAGACCACCATTGTCGGACGCCGATAAGTATGCCTGTGTTCTAAAACCTGACGAATGGTGAATATGTGGTCGATGCAGCCACGACCAGGTCTGAAGCCAGCTTGATTCTCTCGTGTTTGCAGTTCACGAGTCTTAGTTAGGCATCCGATAATTATCGAGGCTAGTATTTTAGATACTATATTAGTTAAACTAATCCCTCTATGGTTGTCACAGGATGATTTTGACCCTCTCTTATATATTGGGACAATAAGTGGTTGTGACCAGTCAGATGAGATTACGTCAAACTCCCAGATTTTAGCTAAAATATTAGTCAACCTAATCGCTAAAATTGGACCACCATCCTTAAAGACCTCTGGAGCCAATCCACCTGGACCAGCTGCCCTTCCTCGTTTCAGAATAACTACGGGTTTTTAACTTCAACTAGGGTCGGGGGACCTACCTCAATGTTTCGCCCAGGCTGTTTGGTAATGGTGGGTATTTGTAGAGTAGCTGAATGCCAGCTGAACTGCTCCTTAAACGTCTGGACTAGGAGCAGATAAGAGTGTCGTCTTTTACCGAGATAGTTTCACTTGTACTTGACTTATTAATTCCAGTTTCTTTTAGCAGTCTATAGAGCTGTCTTGTTTTCCCTATAGCTGCCGCCTTTTCCATCTCTTTTCCTTTTGTCGCCCACCACTGCTCACGGTCGTCTCTTAAACTTTTGCTTAACTGGATCTGATTTGGTTACGTTCTTCATCGTGTTCAAATCCTGATGGGACGAGTTTGCGAGAATCCATCAGTGCAACAGACTTAAAAGAAATCCATTGGTTTTTGTAATCCTTTGATTTAAATCACTAACAGATGTCACTGCTGTTTCCACAGCTGCTTTCCAAGCAACGTCTGGATCAGCCTTGCTTTCAGAGCTACCTAAGTGTGACCTCAATTGTTCCCGGAACCTACTTTTCATTTTCTCGCTTCTCAATTCAGTTCTAATGGGTCAATTTACTGCGGCCTTTTTGCGTCGTGAGGCGCAAGCAGATGCGTGCTCGTATTAGAGCATGGTTGGTGTCCAAGCAGGTATTCCAGAATGAGCGGCAATCTTCTATCGAACCTCTCCAACGATGACTGATGGCAATATGGTCTATTTGAGTCCATCGTTGGTTTGGTGTAGGGGGTCGCCATGTTAGACAGTGTCTCCTTATGCTTAAAATTAGTGTTTGCTAAAAATAAACGATTGTCTGAGCACAGTTGCAGCAGACGATCATGATTATCTGTTTACTGTACCGGAATACCCAAATATCCACCTAAATACCTTTCAGTTTGGTTTAAATTACGTACCTGGGCATTAAGGTCACCTTCTACGGGTACTATGTCTGAACGTTTAACTTTCTGAAGAAGTTCAGAGAGCTTTCTGTAAAATTCATCTTTCACTTCATCCGAGCTGCAGTCAGTGGGGGCGTATGCAGAAACGACAAAAAGGTAACGACGTGTGTCCCTATCCTTCCGAGTCCTTACGGAGTCGTTTAGCCGAACAGCACATAGACGACTGCTAACGGGGATCCACTCTAGTAGTGCTTGTTCTGACCTCGTATTTAGTGCTATTCCTACACCTGCCAGTCCGCGAGAACTAGCCATCGGGTCGCCAGATACATGGAGCGTGTATCTCGTCAGCTCTCCGTTTTGGCGAGGTGAGGTCAAGTGAAAAACCACATAAGAATCCTGTATGCGTGTTTCGGAGACACAGCATACATCAATGGTACGAAATTCCGAGGTTTTAGCGAAGGAGGCCTGCTGACCGATTTGACATAGGGTGCGTATGTTGAAGGCTCCAATGTGTAGTTTGGAGCGGGATTATTTTAGTAGACCTGGGACAGTGTTTCGAGCACTAGAATCGTTGGCTATGGTGACACTTGAGGAGGAAGCCAGAAGAGGAAGTTTGGAGTTGAAAGTCGATGTAGGAAGAATAATAGGAATTGGAGAGGTTGATTATGAATACAGTGGTCTTGAATGCTGTTAGAGTTATGAGAGCGGTTATCACTTCCCGGTTGCTCACACCGTGGAAGGGTTCTTCTGCAGGTGCCTGAAAAGGAAATGTGGTTAGAGGTGGTCTCGGAGAAAGCCCATAAGGTCATTGATGAAGAGCAATGACTATTCAACGAAGGACAGTTTTGGGTGCAGTAATTTCTCATTACTGGTCAGTTTAATTGTGGTTAGGGTGGTCAAACGTTTTACTTCTACATTACAGTAATCTTTGAAAACTTACACTATTTAAATAATCAGATGATTATTTATTAAGCACATCAGCTTTTATATTTCGGATAGGAGTATTACTAGGTAAATCAACACCGATTATTTTGGTTTAGAATTCTGTTACAGTACATTGCTAAGTGTAAAAACCAGTAATGGGATTTCGACCCATTTTTAATATGGTTTTCGTCGAATGACAAGTACTCAGTTTAATTATTCTAATCGCTTCTTAATGATGTATAATCAATAAACCTTGATTACTTTTCTACAGGGCCAACCTTAAGAAACTTCATCTATAAAACTGGTGGCTTTATCCTAGTTGGTGAAGCAAGGAAGAGACGAGGATAGAATTCGTTCTGTTCATGGTATTAAAGTCAGAGTCACGAATTATAAGCACAATGTACGAAAGTATTATATAGTCCCCATAAAAAATAAATTAAGACTCAGAAAATCGCAAAATACTCCTTTAGATTAACTGACTTTTCAATGCTCGCTTTAATCTTATGTCTTACAATGACAGTGGGATCAAATCACCATAGAGTAAAGTAACAAACCACAAATAACAGCTAGCACAGTACAAATGAACTGCCAATTCCTAACTTACCAGCTTTGCTGCAAGTAAATGTTTCATTGTACGTTTTTTTTCCAGATTTACTGGAAAAGGTCTCTTGAAGCGAGTATTAGTTGGTACGATTTTGCGTTCCTTTGACAAAAATTCCAGCAATTCCTCCCTGGTTTGAGATACACCATCAGGATTAAAATGAACAGCATTGTTCCCAGTAATTGTGATCCTAGGTCCAACAACAGCATTTGAAACACCAGGGAGAGCCAAGGTTTTTGGATCGTCCAAAGGTGCCTAGACAAATGATAATGAGAACTCAAGGTTGAACGTACAGGTGCAGAACACTGGAGAGAGGGGAAAAATGGAGCCAGTTTAATTCTCTGCTTTTTTTCGTTTTCTTCAACTAGTTCAGCGAAGGATGCATCATCTTCCGTGGTATTATTAGCCATGTATTTATCCAAAGACATAGCAGTTGGATCACCTAAAGTCTCCAAGTTACTTTCCAATTCAATGTCTACTCTTTTCAGGGTTATGAGAATCGGTGCGAAGGGCACCTCTATCTTTAAGCTCACTGGATTCATCATCAGCTCCCTTTTCTTCGTTCGCGGTAAGGCTGGGGAAAAAATCCCGTTGTATTATTTTTCCCAGATGCTAAAATATAAAATGAAAAGGTTGATAAACACTTATTGCAAAGTAACGTTACAAAACATGCACCGACCTCTTTTTTGAAACATTTCCTATTAACTACAAAATGTCATTTCATTACAGACATCCCAAAATATGAGGTTTTGTAAATTCAAAGGATGCAAGTAATCTTGAGCACATGCAATGAAACTGATAGTCGTAAACAACAATGAATTGAATGAAACATATGTATTAGCCAGGAAAGAAAAAATCCTTCCCTAATTATCTATGGCCAATCACATAAACATGGCGAATTCGGCAAAACCCAAACACAATTGAACACCCGGTCTTAAGTAGCATAACACCATGTACCTGGTCACATAGTTCGTACAGTACCAGCCACCTTACGTTTATACAAACGGCCAGTAACTGTCAAAGAAGAGCACGGCATATGTATACAGTTGCTCCAACAGCATGACGGGGTGAAAGTAAAGACGTTAATAGAAATAAAAAGATATAATCGACTAGCAATTATAATATTCAAGATCAAGCACTAAGAAAATGACCTTGAAGACAACGTAAAAGCAACAAATAGCAAGTATTCTGAAGCTTCAATTTACTTTGACATTTCTACCAGACACCCCAAACATACATGGTACAAAAAATAATCGTAAAACTCGTAACGGGTAATTACAAATAATCTTCATTATTGTGTCGAATTGAGTTAGGAAAATGATCTCATCAAATCAACAAAATGAATAAACTCAGAAAGATCTAGTGATACCTCCATATATTCTTCTTCATCCCGGACTGTTTGAGTTGTGATTCGGCCCTGGATTGGGTTGAAACTAATAAGTTTCTTCTGACCACTAACATCGTGTATCACTTTAGACGATACTTGATCCATGAAATCAAAGTAGCGCTTAAGACAAGTTTTCCGCTCAAAAATTGGACGATGTCACGTAAATCAATTTTTTGTATTAGTTCTTTTATCGCTTTGCGCATTCTTCTTTTGGCCTGAGTACCATTTCAGGTCCCGTTCATGTTTGGTGTGCGGCAGTTTAACTGTCTTATTGCACAATTTCCAATCATGTTGATCGTTATTTCATTGAAGAATCATCAAGCCTCATTCTTCTGACTGAACCAACTTTGCTTTGTATGGTTCTTATATGAGAGACTGGTAGTCAATAGAACCTCTCCAAGGTCAGGGGTCGCTGACACGAATGAAGCAACGCCAACCCATAGGCACAAGCAGTAGTGGTTCCACCTCGTACTTCTCACATGAATCTTTGCTACTACACATTGTTGTTTAAGGAGGTTTTTAGATTATTAGTACAGTCAACGAGGAAGCAAACTCGCCTGATTAGGTCAAGTTATCCTATATCGGGCATTAATCAATTGGTGTGACTTCAAATTGGCCTATGTTGTCACATTATTCCTATATAAATCAAATAGGCCAACCTTTCATATTAGTAATACCTTTTCTAACTCTTCACATTATTGACAAGTAGCAGTAGTTAAATGAGCGTTTGTTGCGACTTTTATGGCTCCCACTTCTGCTGACTAAGTCTTCTATACATGTAGTTACCATTCGTTTTATATGTAGAAATAGCCAGACTGGTTGTTTAAGAAGACCTTTATTCAGATCATGGAACAGAGTGGTTTGAGAGCTATTTTCTTATCGTCAGCACACAAAAATTTCAACACTCAGTATAGGATGATAGGAAACATAATAACTGCAAGCATCCGTATAGACAGATGAAGTTACACTTTGTAGTCTTGTAGGGTGGCGTCGAGTCGCGGTTAACTATGATCACCACTACACTGAGACTACATGCCAGTTATTGAGTTAGATCCCACCGTAGGCCAAAAACCAGAAGGCAGTTGATGGTCATAATAAGATATATTTGTTGGCAATCTAGTGGTATCGAAAGAATACCGAGATCGTGCCAAAGATTACAAGTGGAACTACTGAGCGTGACTGAGAGCGTCCTTGGGTCACAGTCGACGGAAAAATGTATATTTTTAGTACAGTTAAACAAGCAAGTATAGTAAAACAATCACTGATACAATTGGTTATAATAATGATTGTTTCCATTATACCAATCTCATTCTCTTGATAAAAGTAGGTCACTACAACTTAGTAATATTTCGGTGATAAATAAAGCCTAATCATGTGATTTTTTACAAAAGGATGATAACTTACATCATGTTTTTACAGTTTGAAATATCAAACTTTTAAATGTAACATCATTAGATCGTAAAGTGTATTTCTGTAAAGAAAACCAACTCCATGTAGATAAAAATTCACATTTATCAGTAGACAAAAATGTTTACTGAATCATGTCCTTGTGAGGAAGTTATTCACATTGTTTTCCTAGATTATGATATCTTTTATTTGCTGAACTGAAATGTATGTGATATGAAAATCCCTCATATAAATATATAAATCTAAGCATTTTAGTATCCTCAATACCTTCAAAAAATTATATATCCTAAGTTGTGCACTTTTACGATACTTAGCAATCCACAGAAGCCATCAATATCAATAAAATATTGATGTATTTCTGTTATCTGAATTTTAAAAAATTGAATTCCTGGCACTTCGCGTCGTAATGAACCTGGAATTGGCAAGTCAAACCTTGCCATCAATACTTATAAGGTAATCACTAAACTTTTGAAATTCACTAGATTTTATTGACTAAATTCTTTTATTTTCGTTTGATATTCCATATATTTTATAATTTTATCTTACAAATACTCTGCTTTAAAAGCGAAACCGTCATTATGATTCTATTATTATCCTATAAAAACTTCAGAACACCAAGTTGACACGTAAGTTAAGCATCGTTCTTAAGTTTAGAAGTCATTTTCTCTGAATTTGTTTATCTTACAAGTTCAAACACAAATAAGCTAGTTTAAGAACTTCGATACTCTATTTCCCATATAAATTAACATTTATTTGCGCTAAAGTAATTTTATCCATTACTTTACTTCTATAGAAACATTTATTGTTTGTTTACCCATTTGAAGTTTCTTTATAACTTAAAAACTTCAGCCTCTATTCAACTATTTTCCTTTACTTATTTAAATTACCTCAGGCTAGTTAACTCTAACTCACAAAATTAGCCTAAAGGTAAAATGTAGGTTAACATTGTTCTGCCATTGTCACTGCGAACTTTTATATTTTTTTAATATGTTACTTTTAAATTCTTACTAGCTAACCTATTCATTTGTATTTCTTTCGTACCTTGTTTCGCCTCATCTCATCATACTCCGTTATTCTTTATCGTTTCTTCTTTCCTAGAGCATTTCTAAAGCGTTTCTTAATCATTCATCTGAACCTGTGTAACACTGACATACAAATATGTATCTATTTATAATGAAAAATGCCTTGAGGTGATCATTCAGTATTGGATGTTTTAAAATCGGAAACACGTTACTCTCTACAATATATATATATAAACGTTAGATTGTACGAGATGAATAAAATAGCATCTTGGTTATAATAAAGTTATTCGTACAGGTTCACAATAAATAAACTATATTGTATTACTTGGAAAAAAGTGAGTTCAACCAAACATGTACAATACGCGTGTACTAAAATTTAGAAAATTTATTCAGTTAAAATGATATTGATAAGTAAATTAAATTAAGGTGGTATTATTTATTGTTTTATTGTATTAATTATTATGTGTTAACGGTACCTCTAATTAATAACAGTTTTTCATTTAATATCAAGTGGTCATTATTAAATCAATATTATTATTATCATACATTTTGCCAAAAGTTCCATAAATTCATTGATTTATTTAGGTACTTTTGACATTACCATGAACTTATGTGCCTGCATCCCGGAGTTGATGTTTCCTCAGGTACTCGAACCCAGTACCGTTCGCTTCAAAAGCCATTGCGTTATCCACTTAGCTACTGAGTCCTGATGGTCACCTGCTTGTGCGATCGGGTGAAGTTTAAAGTCACTTGATGTTGTTTTACTTGTATCTTCCCACTGCTATTTAGGACTGTAATTGATCAATCTCATGTTGACAAGTCCCAAATAGGACGAAACGTGCTTGCTGGATTCCACTGCTAGCCACTATCCATCTTTGCTTAAAAGGCTTGTGACTTAAGGCTATATCGAGGCAATCCTCACATGATGCACATATGCCAATAAGAGATTGACCAATTGCAGTCCTAAATATCAGTGGGAAGATACAAATAAAACAACACCAAGTGAATGAACTCATGATATCTGTTTTAAACAATATGTACTAAAATGAACAGAAATATCCTGAAAAAAATATACTAAATTTATCTTACTGAACATATATAATTTACTCTTACCTAAAGAACTAATTACTTGTTTTTCTATTTAGCTATTTTATTGTTTTTATATTCTCTAAAATTATGAACATGATTAAGCCATAAAAACACCAAGTTTATATGATCTTAATTACTAGCGAATTCATCATTTAAATAATATATAATCCCAATAGTAAGAGATGAGATATATAATTGGTTACGTCTGACTCAAAATCAATGAAATTTACTTCATATTTGAGTTTTATATACCGTAAACAAACCAAAAAATTAGACTAGATTAAAAAAAAAAAAAGAAAACTCATACTAAAGAAGGACTTCTAAATTCATAAATATTTAACGTAAACACTTATTACTGAGAGTTGAGTCTAGTGAAAATTAAAAAAAAATAAACGCTCTAGGTGAATGTTTACACCTTCATAAATAATTATTGTCTCAACTTGAATAATTCCAGAGTACTGGAGTTAATTGGTAGAACAATTTAAATCTGAACTAGTTCAGTCAACGAAGAATAATACTTCATTATTTCAATACTAATAATCTATGAATACGAAACGAAATTTTGTGGTAAGTTTTTGGGAAAAAAAGAAATTTTGTGAAGTGATTTTATTATCATTATTATGTACAAATTTGCCACTGTATTCAAAATATAATGAGGCATATAATTATACCTGTTTCAATTTATAGAACATAATGATACCCGAACAGATCACATCATTATCTGAATTATCATCTCATATACCAATATCAACTTCAATTCTACCTAGTACAACACACACTACTGAGTTGACGATTGATAGGACAACAGAACTTCTCAAACTTATACAGACAGCTTCCAATGGACAAAACATACTCAAGCTAGATTGGATGAACTTTCAAAGTTCAAATGAATTACAAGAGTATACAGAACATAAAAATAAAGTTGACGAATACTCTAATAGTAATCAAGGTGATTTCGTTAATATTCAAAGTGAATTAAATGTTGGCCTGAAAGATCTCATCAATCAGTTACAACCATGTCAGCGAATAGAGATGGAAAGAAATAATTGTGCAACTGACAACTCAGAGATCATTAGTACGTCTGAATGTAACAAATCTGTTACCATGATTCATGATAGTAGTGAGGTCAGTACATGGAATCCACCTAAATTATACCAATTATGCAATGAAATAAAACAGTATCAAGAGTATTCTGATGTTGACAGCAGATTATCAACTGATCTAATATTGCTTTTAAATACGTTGAATGATTCGGCTTCGTCAATTGTTGCATCAGTAAAATTAGGCCCTAAGAACTGCATTAATAATGATAATAACAATCAATCTAATTATGAAGGATACAATATGATAAAAACTAACGACTTTGCAAACATTGAATGTTTTAATAAAAATGATTTATTGAATATAACAAATAGTGGACGTTCTCAAATGCAATCAACAAATAAAATCTCTAACAATAACAATGAACTTTTATTTACGGAATCACAAGGAAAACTCACAAGTGGTCTTTTCAAGTCTAATGATAACATCCATTCTTTGGGAATCCAGCATGAAATTCAACAACAGCAACCACAATCTAAATTATATGATACTTCTAATAAAAGGCCAGTATTACACTGGGCTAAACTTGGTGTACCTCAACCTGCCAGCCCTACCAGATATTCAGCTCCAGTACATATCGATGTTGGTGGTACACTATATACATCTTCATTAAAAGCTTTGACAAAGT